CTGTCCAGGCACCTGCGGCGGCTGCTGCTGGAGGGCCCCGCCGAGCCCGCCGTGCTGCAGGCCCTGAGCAAGAAGGTGCTGACCCAGCTGAAGGAGCAGTGCTGCTACGTGTCCTTGGACTTCGAGGGAGACCTCCGGCAGTCCCATCGCCCAGCCAGCTTCCAGACCCCCGACGGGCACTGGATAACGCTGGGCAAGGAGCGCTTCTGCTGCCCGGAGCCGCTGTTCCGGCCCGAGCTGCTGCAGCACAGCTGCCCCGGCCTGCACCAGCTGGTCGGGCAGAGCCTCCAGGCCATGTCCAAGCACGTCAGGAGACACATTCTGGGCAACATCGTGCTCTCAGGCGGCTCCTCCATGTTTCTCGGCTTTCCCGAGAGGATGTGCTTGGAGCTGAATTTCCTTTTCCAAGATGCGGGTGTCCACATCGAGGTCCTGGCGAACCCCAGGAGGGGCACGGCAGCCTGGGCCGGGGGCTCCATGGCAGCCTCGCTCACGTCCTTCCAGCACACGTGGATGACAAAGGCCGAGTACCAGGAGCACGGGGCCGAGTACGTGCACACAAAATTCCAGTAGGGAATTTCGTCCCACTGTGTGCCTCTACAGGAGTGACTCAAACACTGCTCAGGGCCCAGCTGCAGCAGCGGTGACCGAGTGGCTCCTGTGCTGCTGCAGGGGTGCAGAGTCAATTAAAGTGCCCCAAAAGAAACCAAGTGCTTTCCACTGACACTCTGGGTTATTTCCTTCCCACCATCTAACAAGGGTGTGTGCAGTCAGGCTGGAAAACAACTGGGGCTCGTGTTGGGGATCCAGGCCACACTGACTCTCTGGTCTGGGCACATTCAGTCAATCCTAATGCTCCAGGCTGCACTTCCCAACTGGAAATGCAGCTGTCAGGATGAGGAAGGGACCTTCTCCAGCTGTCAGCACTGCAGAACCCCCGGGGGGAGCCACAAGTGTGGGAGGAAGGAGATGAGCAGGGGAAGGTCCACAGAGCACCTGCACTGCAGCCACTTACTGATTCCTCATCCTGACACTGGAGCAGGTCAGCCCTGGCTGAGGAAGATGAGCTGCAAACCAAGGAACTGCATTCACTCCTTGTAATTTTGGTCTAAAGGTCATTTGGTGCTTCAGGGAGCCGATTCAGCTCCCTGAACAGGCATTTTCTCACCTGGCTGAACTGACTCAGCTCGGCAGATGATTAGAAAGGGATCAGAGATTGTGAAGGAAGCAGCTGGGGAGCACAGCCCAGCTGTCACAGCACACTCCTGTCCCCATGGCCAGCCCCGTGCCAGCTCCTCAAGGGACACAGCAACCACAGCATGTCCCTGTGAGTACTGAGAGACACAGGACCAGCAGCAGGAGGTCGAGGAAGGAGCCTCCATATGATGCAGGAGGGCTGGTTGCTCCCCAAGAGTATCCACCAGGAGAGGTCCACCCCTTTCCTCGACAGGACAAGGAGACTGGAGCAGCATCCCTGCCTTCCCCACGGTGTTCTCGTGTGACCCCAAGGCTGCAGCACCCTGAGCCAGGCTGCCCTCACCCTCCAGGCTCCATGAACCATGTCCAAAATAATGTCCAGCAATGCCTCCCCATTGCTGGGGTCAAATATTTCCAGTTCCTGCTGTGTTTCTCTCCAGCACACTGGGGATCTGGAATTCCAGAACTCCAGACAGAAGGATTTCACTGTAACCTTTCCACTGCTGGTGTCAAAGGAAGGGAGCAGTGGGAAGGGTCCTGAGCCCCTCATGGTTTTCTGGTTGCTCTGTGCCACCAGCCCAGTCCAGGAGCTGTTTCTGACTGGGCACAGCTGTGGTGGGAAGGGAAGGGAAGTGGGGAGAGTGGAGAGGAGGGATGCTCATCCCCCAAGCTCAGGGCTCATGCTGGAGTCAGCAAAGGATGGTCAGAGCCCCCCCCAGCACCAGGGGGATGGGGGTTTTCATCCCTGCTGGAAGATGAATCTCATTTTCCTGCCTCAAGAAGAGGACAGCAGCAACACTGACAAGATGCAGCCGTAGCAAACTGAGTTCCAGCTCTGCATCTCCAGCCTCTCCCAGCCAAGCATCCCATGTGTTCCTACAAAGACTTCCTTGCCCACAGCCCCAGAAATGGAGAGCTCAGGCCTGGGGATCCCTGCCCACCCTTCCCCTCCTCATCCCAGGCTGTGCAGGCACTGAAATCCCTGCTAGCACTGCCTCTCTGTGCCTGCCCAACTCCTGCCAGCCCAGATTCATTCCCTGCTTGAAGGGGAACAGGAGACACTCCAACCTCCCCAGGACACACCGGGAGGGAGGGAGGGAGTCAGTCAGTCAGTCAGTCAGTCAGTCCCTGGGGGGGCACAACAGGTGCATTATTCACCCACCACATAGCCCTGCACAGTCCATTTCACTGCCCAAAACCCAAACACTGCCATCCCCCTGGCATCAACGAGGCTGTTCCCCCAGCAAGCAGCCAAACGAGGTGTGCTCCCACCTCAGGGCTGTGCTCCCACCTCAGGGCTCTGCTCCCACCTCAGGGCTGTGCTCCCACCTCAGGGCTCTGCTCCCACCTCAGGGCTCTGCTCCCACCTCAGGGCTCTGCTCCCACCTCAGGGATGTCCTTCCAGCCCTACCACAGCCTGGGCACACAGACACTCCCCCTTGCTCAGAGGCTTCTCCCCAAGCACATCACTCCCCTTGCCAGGGCCAGGTTCTGGGAGAAGCACCAACCCTGCCCCCCAGCACTCCCCATCCTCTCAGCTTCCACCCTCAATGGCCTAAGCCTCACATCCCCCATGGGTGCAGTTTTATGGCAGAGCTGAGCTTCTGTCAGCTGCCCTGAGCCCCACAGCTCACCCAGGGCTGTCCCTATACCCCAAACACACAGGCACCAGTATGGGGTGACAGCCCCCAAAACCCCACTGCCAGTGCAGGGCACGCTGTGCCTGGAGGGGACTCAGCTCCAGAGGGTCCCACAGGGACACAGCAGCACTGCCAGCTGCCTCCTGCCTCATCAAACACAGCACACCCAGGGGAATGTGCTGGGACAAGGATGGAAATAACCACCCCTCAGGAGAGCTCCAAATGCTGCTTCACCCTTCAGCATCGATTTGGAAAACTGCATGCCAGGGGAGAGAAAGAACCCAAAGTGCAGCCCCCATCACACTCCTCATTTTGGGGCAAAGTACCAAAATCTTCTCATCAGATGTTGCACAGAAGTCAAACCCTCTGTTATCAGAGGTTCAATAAACTCACCAAGCACAGCATTTTCTGCTCATGGCAAAGCCCCATGGCTGGGAGTCACAAAAGAAATAACCCAGCAAGCACAGGACAAGGAATTTTGGTTGGGCACTGGTATTTCAGCTCTGCTTACCCAGATGAAAAATCACCAAGTTGCCAAGAGCTGCTGTAACTCTGCTTTGGAGGGGTTTTATTGGTTTCTTATGATGATAGTTAAGCTCAGGACAGAATGGAATGGGTGGCCACATAATTTCTGTCAAAGGATAAACAGGGCTGCCTGGCTTGGAGAGGTATTTATGTGAGGGTTTGCAGTGTTTGCACACTGGAGAATGGAAAGATTTTAGCATACAGACCCCCTGTGAGAAACATCAGGCTGTTTTCTGAGGTATTTCCACTGTTCACTTCCTACCCTGATGCAATTATATTGCAAACATGAAGTTCAGCCACAAAATAAGGTGTAATTAGCACACTACAGCACAGCCATCAAGTTATACTTTACAAATAAGTGGGAATGACAGAATGTGGAGGAAAAACCCTCTCTTCTTGACAAGGCATATTTCCTTCAGCAAGTTCCTAGCAGCCCAGTGAGGAAGGATGGAGGCATGGGAACCCCTAATGCTTTGGTTTCCTCCTGCTGACCTGCAGATCCACAAAAACAACCCTGAGCAGGTTTGCTGCTCACTCACACACAAAACTTCTGCAGAAACTGCACAGGACAAACCCAGCTTGCACTTCCCACACTTCACCCCAGGGTTTCTCCTGACAGGGAGCGTGGGAGCAGATCAGGAGCCTGCCAGCCAGGAGACAGCTGGGACACAGCCCAGTGATCCATGCCAGGTGTCCTGGCCCTGACATGCACAGCTGGGAGTATTCCATCCCAAAAAGGCTTTTGGCAGCACTGCCTGAAACCACAGCTCCCAAATACCCCCATGGCACATTCCCCCTGAGCCTTGTTTTCCTTATTTCCCTCCATTGGCATGGTCTGAGCAGTCCCCCCAGAGCTGTTCTCCTGCTCATTTTCAGATTCCAGCTGTGGTTCCCTGGAGGATGCAGGGCTGAGCAGCCTGAAGATCTGATCCTGAGGAACTGCTGGATATGGATCATGCCCTAACCAAGAGTTGCTGTGCTGAGACACACCTCAAGCCAGAGATCTCCTCCTTCTTCCTGCCAGCCTGGGCATCTCTGCCTGCTCCAGAGTCAGGCAAAGTCCTGGTAAATTCAGCCTGGCAACAACAGGCAGGGCTGCAGATCCTTCAGCAGGGCTCTTCCAGTTTTCTCAGTGCACAAGCAGCTCCCTGGGATGAAAATTTATCTGGTTCTTCCATGAGGGTGCTCCCCATGCCAAAGTGGGGGCTCCCAGGCCTCAGAGAGGTGTTTGAACCCAAAGAATTGAGGGGCAGGTGTAACATGGGACATCTGCTCTCTGCCCTGGCTCACAGAGGTGGCTGGCTAAAATCCAGCCCACTAATCCCATCATAACTCAAGCTCGAGTCCAACTCTGGAAGTACAAGTGTGGGAATATATTCAGGTCCCAGCAGGTAGGAATGCAGCATTTATCATCTCCAGCAGCCTCCAGCAGTGGCAGGTGTCCCACAGCTCTGCAGAGCCCTGCCCGCTCCTGCCTTCTCCCCAGATCAGAGCACAGCAGGGAAGGGCAGGGAAAAGATTCCCAGGAGGATCAATATCTGTCCTGGGGCACAGCAGGGCTGGGGTCAGAGCACCTGATCAGCACAGAGCCCCCCTGGCTGAGAGCTGGGAACACTGGGCTGCCCTGGCTCCAGGCAGATCCAAACAGGCGGAGAAATGAATCCATCAAAATTTGTTTCAACAGGAAAAACCTGCTTCTGTTTTCCAGGGAACACCAGTGGCACCAGAAGCTGTGGAGGGAGTGAATGCCTCACACCAATACTGTGGAGCAGAGAGTGACTGTGCTGCCCTTTGGAGAAATAAATGACTATACACATTCATTACCCGAAAAACCAGAACAGAGAGGAACTGAAATAAAGCACAGCTCTCTGGAGAGGATCCCTCCTCTCCCTCTGGACTTGTATTTAATAACTCTTGAGTGGGGCCAGGGACCTGAACCAATGAGAAAATGCATTTTCAGGAGATTCCCTCTCCTGGCATGAAATTTCCACACATACAGGGAGACACTGCTGAGGCTGGCTCTGGCCAGAGGAAAGCTCAGAGAGGGACTGACACTGCAGAGGCACAAACACCACTCTGATGAGTGACCAGTGTGGGACTGGTTCCCCTTTTCTTCTCTGTCTGACCAAGAGTCAGAGGAGCATTCACAAGGACGATGCCCCTCATCTGCTTGGAATAAGGCATCGATGGCAAAGAAAGGGTCTTCCCCTGGCTCAGCACCAGCCCAAGCACACAGCTGAGCCCTTTGATAGATCTCAGGTGCAAAAGGGGCTGCTGGTCCCTGAGCAGGGCCCTTCCAGCCCTGCCTTTCCCCCCTGTCCTTATCCCAGTGCTGCCCAGCACAGCAGGGCTCAGAGCTTGTCCTCATTAGCAGCCCCCAAAGTGCTTCCATCAGCAAAGGAGGGTGAGAGGGAGAGCAGTGGAGCAGGAATGAGCTCTGCAGCAGGCTGGGAGAGCAGCAGTCCCCAGAGCAGCTCCTGCCTCTCTCCTGCAGCTGGCACCTGGTGCTGTGAGCACAGCCTGTGCTGGGTCTATCCTGAGCACCCTGCAGGGCTCATTCTGAGCCACGCTGCTGGATGGAATCACTTTGGTTTGGCTCAGAGCTCAACATGGGCTCTCAGTGATGCTCCCAGAAAGCATCTGTGGGCAGGACCCTGCGAGGAGCTGCTGGAACAGCCTCTGCCAGAGCCCTGCAAGGGGAGGGTGATGTCTCCAGGGCACAAAAGCTTTGGATTTACCCTTCTCCTCCTCTGGCTTGGCTCCCCATCCTCCAGGCTGTGTGCCTGCAGCACTGCCTGCACATGCATACAACCCAAGCACACACTGCCACCCCTTGATTTGAGGGGTTTGCTGCCTCTGACCCCTAGATTTCACACTCAGCAGCAGCTGAGCTCACCACAGCTCCGATTTCACACCCTGCTGCCCTCCCCCGGCCCCGTCCTTACCAGCTTGGTTTTGTCCATGGCTGCCAGCACTGCAGCGTTGAGGGTTTCCAGGGCAGAGAGCACATTCCTGTATTCCCCCAGGTACGCCGAGAAATAATCTGGAGAGGACAGAACACCGTGGTCAGGTTCCTGAGCAGCTCCAGCTCTGCCTCCCCTGCTGCTGCTCCCCACACACAGCCCAGAGCTGCAAGGGGGGCATTCCCCTCCTTTTCCAGAATCATTCTCCCACTTGGACTGAAATGAAAAGTCCTTCCCTATGCCCTTGGGAACAGCACCTCTGTGCTGGGATCCTGCCAGGGATGGATGCCACCCAGTTCTGCACAGGACAGACACACACACACCACACACACCCTGGGGAGGGGAAGCTCTCCAGGGCAGGAATATCCCTCACTTACCACACAACTTCTCCGTGTCCACGTTGCTGCAAGAAACAGAAAAAAGCTCGTGTTAGATAGTGGGGCTGGTGTGGGGGAAACAGTGCTGGGGGTTTGGGGGCTGGGTTTGAGTCCCAGGGGATGTACTGATTGTTCATGTATTTTCAGAAGCTGTAATTATCAGAAAAATAAGGAGCTGCACAGGTTCAGAGCCAGCAGCTCAGGAGCCATGCCCAGCCCCTGCAGCACCCAGGGGCTGAAGGAGCAGGAAAATCTGCACCACCAACACCTCCTGGAGCTGGAGCGTGCTGGGAAAGCATCTGTGACAACAGAGTGGGGTTGGGATGGAGATGCCCCACACCCCTGGCTGGCCAGCTGAGCCCTGGAGCTTCTTCTTCAACCCAACCTCTTCCCCAAAGCTGGGAAGCATGCAGCCTTGTTTATCCCTGACCTCAGCCCAGGTCCTCCCCGTGGCACCAGACCCCCTCTTCTCCCCACTACCCCCTCCAGCAGCTCCTCCTCCTCTTCCCTCCCTCAGAGCCCAGGTGATGTGGGGCTGTCTGCAGGCTCCCAGGGGGCTTCACAGCCCTCCAGAGTGGCTGTTCCTGCCCTGAAGGACACTAAATCAGGGATCTGGCTCTGGTGGAAGGCAGGCCCCCACCCCTTTTCAGTATCAGAGAGCACAGCACTGCAGGATCCCCCCTGCAGGATCCACCCTGCATCCCTGCAGGGCTCGGGCAGATCCCTCCTTCAGCTGCTAAAGGTGCTGCTGGGGGGGAGAGGGAGGAGGAAACGTTCAAAACCAGCCCCAGGTTTTGGGATGGGTCTGCATGGTGCTGTTGGACCTGCTCAGGCAGCCAAAGCCACGGAGGCAGAGCTGCTCTGGATGCCCAGCATCACCCAGAGCCTGCAGGGACAGACCCCAGGATGTCATTTATTCAAATCAGCCTCTGCTCAAGGCATTCTGCTGCCTCAAAATCCCCCAGATGATTACAACCATTTTAAATCTTGATTGGGAAAGTAGAAGAGAGCCCCAAAGAGAGCTTTTTAAGTGTTTTTTAAGTGTTTAAGTGCTGTCACACATGGGGGAATTGGCAGTACCTGGAGTTTGCCAGGCTCCAAGCACAAGGAATGCTGCAGTGCTGCTTCCCAGGGGGTGGGAAACCACAGCCACATCACCCTGTCCCCCCTCTGACACTGCCCACAGGCCAAAGAGACAAAAACACCCCCATGTAAAATTAGAGGAGAGTGTGTGAAGTGTCCAAAATGCCATTTAAGGGGAAATAATTAAGACAAAAATCTTCCTACAGCTTTTCCTGAGACTTCAAAGGCTGATTTCCGTCTCTCACTTTCTGCTGGGCTTCCATGGAGAGCACTTTAACAGTGGGCAGTGCTTGAAAACATGGGGATGTTTGGTGTGAGGGGTGGCAGAGCCAGGGCAGGGGGACTGCAGCCCCTCTGCTCTGTAATTGCACCTGCAGGCAGCAGCAGTGTGAGGCTGGCATTCAGCTCAGCTATTTTAAACACACAGGAGCTGATTTAGGCAGGGCTCTGCGCACTGACCTGGCACTGCAGGCACTTCTTAAAGGGAATAAAAAAGCCGTGTTCCCCTTGAGACTCAGTACAGATAAACCTGCAAAGCCACAGCCCCTCGCTCTGCCAGCTCCACTCCATCTCTGCTGATCCCATCTCTGGGCAGCTCTGCTAGACAGACACTGAGGTTTGAAGCACCAGTGTACACTGGGAAAAGGTTTTGCTCCTTCTGAAGTTTTCCCCTTTATTCCTGGCAGCTGTCTGAGCCTGCAGAGCTGCTGCAGTGCTGCAAGAGCCCTGGCACTGCAGCAGCCACGGCACAGAGCTGTGCCCAGAACTGTCACTGCAGGGAAACACTGGCTCCCACCTGAGAGAAGGGGAAAAGTCACCAAAGAGTGGATGTGGACACCTCATGCCCACGTTACCCTGGCATTTGCCCTGGTCCCAGTGAGCACCTGGGGCTGGGACCGGTTTCAGCAGGAACAAGGAGCCACCAGCTCAACCCACTGCCAGTTCCCAGCTCAGCTCCAGCAAGGTGTGACAAAGAGCTGCCATCAACTCCCACCCTGTGGCTTCTAAAGTTATTAATAACTCTTTATATCTCAGCTGTTTGCTGCTTAAAAAGAAATGTTAACTAATCAGTCACTAAACCACTGAACATTGAACCAACCAACGACATCTCGTGGCAAAAAATCATCCCTCTGGGAGTTATCCAGGGGAAGATCTGCTCCCTTCCCTCCCTGCTGCAGCCTGTTCCATCAGCAGCCCCAGGGCACAGGCAGGGGCAGGAGAGAGCCCAGCAGCAAAACCCAGGCTGCTGGGGCCATTCTCATGCCACCAGAACGAATTGACACAGAAAACTGGGTGGAGCTCACGGACAGAATGTGCACACCAAAGCCTGACCCACTTTGCAGGGCTGCCAGGGGCAGCAGGCTTCCCTCTGCTCCTCTCTGCCATTCCCACTCCAAGAGAAGAGCCATCCTCTGCCTCCAAAGCACTCATCCTGAGACTCTCCACATTTCCCATAGCTGTATTTTGACTGTGCTCAAACCACTGATTAACTGTAATTAAGCCTGAACTGATGATGGAGGATCTTGTCATCATTATGCTGTTGGGATTTTGTCAGAATGTGCCTGGAATTTATGCAAGAAAACAGCAATCAGCTGCAGAAAAGGAGACGGGATTTTTATTTTTATTTTTTCTTAATCATTTATCATGTTGGGAACCTCCAGTGCTATCACAGATCTGGTTTCCAAACCCTTTTCATGTGACACAGAGTGTTTCAGTCACTCTCCATCATCAGGGACTGGCAGATGCTGTGACTCTGAGTCTCTGAGTAAAGAGAGGGCAGGGAATTCACTCAAATCCAGACAATCACAGGCTTGAGGTTCTTTCCACATGGACACTTTAAGAGGCTCCAGGTCAGCACTTCTACCCCTTGTGGCTCCAGGTCAAAGGCTCTGAGCAATCTGCACCCAATTCCTAAACACTCTCATGGAAAGATGGATTTTCTGGACCTTATTTCTCTAAATTTCCCCAGCAGGTGCAGGACAGAAGGCCAGCTAAAATCCAAACAGCAATTCCCAGGGCAGGTTTCACAGTGCAAGCATTCAACACCTGCAGTTCTAGATGCAGCTACTCCAAAAACATCAGTCTCTTCTCACCCAGATGTTTCAGAGGATGAAAATGCTCTTTTCCAGGAAGATGAACCTTACTGTGCCACTGCCAGAGCTGGTGTGGAGCTCTGGAGCAGCCAAACAAAACTGTGGACCTGCTGGTGTACCAGCTGCCATCCAGAGCTGAATTTGGTTTCAACATAAACTTTTAAATGTCACAGAATTAAAGTTGATTTTATGCCAAAATGGAACCATCTTCTGAAATGCAGAACAAGAACAGCTTTGTGTGGAAATGTAGAATCAGAAGTGATCCCAGCAGAGGTGTGTGTGATGCACAGGCTCCAGAGCCCCACCTGAGAGCCAGAGGGGTGGGAGGTGGAGAGAGGAGAGCAGGGGGCTCTCTGGAAGGAGAACAAGAAATGGGGGAGACCTCTGGAATATCCATGTTCCCAGCTGTCAGCTCTGGGGCCCAGGGGAGCAGCTGCAGCTTCCAGGGATGGCAGAGGGTCAGGATGGCTCTGAGCAGTGCTGGAGGTCTCTGTTATTGCCCCTCCTCGGCTCAGGCTGGCAGGGACAAGGAAACACAAATTCCAGCCTAGACATGACAAACACAGCACCAAAAATACCTGCAGGGTTAAGGGTGAAACCTCCCCATCATCACAAAAGCTTCGGGACACAGAAGCAGCACACCAGATCTGCTTGGAGAGCTTGTAGCTGGCAGCAAATTTTGGCCAGCTCTCTGAAACAGTAAGTTCCTGACAGTGCAAGGAACTTAATTCCAGTGCAAGGAAGAAGCCCAGGGGAGAAGGGCTGTCCCCACCATGGGCACAGCAAGACACCAGCACAGCCCTCATGAGCCACCAAATCCTGCACATCCCAAACCCCACATTTCCTACGTTTGCTGAAAGCCACTGAAGGCAGGAATTTGGAAAAGAGCTCTGAGGGTCCCTTCTGCCCTTGGTGGCAGGAAGAGAATAAAGACCCAAGGCTCATGCCCTGCTGCTGGATGTCAGCAGCTCGATGCTGCCATTGCCACGTTGTCATGGCTACAGCACCCTCGTTAGGTAACGAGCTGTGGGGGCACCGCTGCAGCCACAGCTCCCCGGGCAGCACAGACCCACTCAAGCCTCCTCAGCTGCTCCAGACAGATGGAACAAGCCCAACCTGAAGGCAGGAGACCTTCCCTGTTCAGTGTTGAGCTGGGTTAAAGCTCCCAGCTTTGCTGCACCCTGTGTTTTCCAGGGGTGTTGTGACTCCAGGATCACCCCAAAATGAGCACTCACCGCCAGCGTCCTGGGATCACAGCCCAAAGAGACAGAGATGTGTTCAGGAGACACCTCCTGCTGCCCACATCCACGAGCTCAAGCAGCAGGCTCCAAGGAAAGCAGCACAGGGCTGCCCACACCTGCCCACTTCTCTGCAGTGGGAACTACACCCAGCTCCCACAGCACTGGGAGTCCACCACTGCCACTGCCCCAGCCCTGAGTGGGCGATGACGCTGGGTGTCTGCTGTTGGTGGCATTTGGTGGCTTCTCAGTGTGACAAGGGCCCACTGTGCCAGTGCCCTGGCTGCATGCAAAGCGCTGGGACCAGCGTGTGTAGCTCAGGCTGCCCCAAATTTCCTCACCCTGGCAGGGAGCTGTGCCCTGCTCAAGGGTGTCAGAGGTGCTGGGGTGCTGGGAAAGCCAAACCTGCCACCCAGAAGCTCAGCCCCTTGTCCCCCAGCAGCGCCCCAGTGTTTGGACAGACCCCAGCCATGCAATTCAGCAGCACCAGCTCCTCCCAGTGCCAGGCCAGACTCACCCACAGCAACCAGTGAGGCAAAAAATACCCAAAAAATGTGGGATGAGAATCCCAGCTGAGCCCAAGGGACCCCTCTAGATAGCCCCACTCATGAGGAGAGCAGAGCTAAACACAATTCCTTCTCCTGCTCTTTGGGGCTTTCTTTTTTTTTACAAGTAGCTGCCCTCAATTCCCCGTTACATGCACCAGGCCCACTCGTGGTGGAAAGCAGCTCTTATGTAAGTGAAAAGCAGTTCCCTGAGTCAGCAGTGGCAAAGTCTGTGACTTTTCACAGTCTGTGCCATGTCCCCACACCACCACAGGCTCCTGCAGACACACAGCCTGCTCCAGGTACTCCTGGACTACATTTTCCAAAGCAAAAGGAGTGGAATTTCCCATGCTTGCTCCCTTTCCAGAGCTGCAGTAAATCTGGTGGCTGCTCTCAAAATGTCTCGGCACCAGGGCTCGCTGCTGGTGCTCACTGGGCTTGAACACCTGCGTGTGGTAAGGGGTGGGTTTGTCTCACCCTGACTATTTATCACACCCGCCTCCAAACATCCTCCATCTCCAGTCAGGCAGTTTTAGCTTCTCCTGCGTCTCCTCCGTGCCACCACGGTACTCACTCTGAGTGACGCCTGTCAATGCCACTGAACAACTCCCACAGCTCCTCCGAGCTCAGGATGCCATCAGAGAAATAGTTCTTGAACTCCTCAAATGACAGCTTCCCATCATCTGCATTCAAATAAAAGGGAAGAATAATTATCTATCTGTGGAAAGCAGCATCCCGGCCCCGGCGAGCCGCAGCCGCTCCAGCGGGCGTGTGGGACGGCTGGCTGTGTTCTGCATGGTGATTACAGCACGTATCTCCCTCAGAGCCTGCCCCACCAGCCCTGCAAAAACACAGCAGTGCTGCTGGAACTGCAGCTGGGAATTCCAGCCCTTTCCTAAAGGCCCCATTGCGCTGTTCTCAGACATGAGTGCAGAATGTCAGAGAATAAACAGCACCGCCAGATTTTCATGGAAACAAAGTGCTCTTCATTGACTCAAGAGCTTTTTCCTTCCTCTCTGTGGAGGACTTCAGCTCCTGGGCTGCACTGTGATCTGCAATAAAAGCATCTCCTAAGCTACCATGACGGAAAGAAGCCCAAGAGAGTGTGGGAAGGCTCAGGGAAACCACTTGTGATTTTGGACCTCTTGGTTTCTGGGTGCTGGATTAAAAACCGGGTAGCAGAGCCTAACTCCCAAATGCCAGGGGCTCCAGGGGCACCCAGAAACAGGAGCACCTGCAAAACCCTGGCCTGAGCACAGAGACAGAAGCAGTTCTGTCTGACTGAGCAGAAGCCTGACAGCCCATGGGCAGGAGAAGGGCTTGGAAGGGGCTGTGTCCTGTGTGGTGTTTGGATGGGGAACTGGGGAGCCCATTCCCTGGCCAGGCTCTGGGATCCAGATGAAGCAGAAAAGCATTTTCCACCCTCCCTCTTCCAGCCAAACCTCCCAATGGGAATGAGCCACGCTGCTTCAGCCAGAGCCAGGCAGGGAGGGGGAGGCAGACACAACAAGGCTCAGTGTGGCAGCAGGGAGAGAAGGGCAGGTGAACAGTGAGCCAGGCAGCACCACAGAAAATCTCCTCCAGGAGCTCACAGAGCTGTGGAGAAGCCCCAGCTGTTGGGACTTCACAGGCTGCTCTGGGAAATTCCCCTTTGCCAATGATTAAACCCATTTCTTGCCTCTAATGCACAAGCCCTTGGCCAAGCGAGCCCGGCACTCACAACAAGCACCTTTTAGAGAACACAGAGGCGAAGCAGAAACGACTTTGCAACATCCTTGTGATGGCAACTGTTTAATTTTTCAGCCCACTTAAACGAAAGAACACTGGGTTTAAATGCACTCTGTAAGGAAGCACTTTGTGCATCACCAGCACCATCACCTGTACCGAGGAGCAGCTCCTGCCCTGAGCTTTGTAACCACCCCTCAGCACAGCCCTTCCTGCAGCACCCCGGCATGCACACACACTGTAATGAATCATTAATGAATCAATTAATCTGTAACTGCTTCTGCCACAGAGCACAGTTGGAGAGCTGCTCCAGTTCAGGGTCCCAACGCAGATTCCCAACCACGAGGTTTCTGCCCATGACCCAGGACAAAGCTGGGGCTGCTCAGCCCTGCCAGGATCTGTTTCACCACTGAATTACTGCCAGGTCTGGGGCTGACTCCAGTGAGGAATAGCATCACTTCCAAAGCCTGGGAATGTTTTCCCACATTTTGTCCAGCACATCCTAATGGACTCAATGACAGAAAATTGTCTGTGTGGCAACTGTCCCTTATATGTGATGAAGAAATCTGCATGTCTGAAGAAAGATTAGGGAAGAAAAAGGGCTGGGAAAGGAGACAGAACATTTCTGTTCTTGCCCACACGCAGCCCCTGGAGCACCACTGCCCCTCTGCCTGCTCTGCCCCATGTTCCGAGGCCACGCTCCCACATCCAGCCCTGACATCTCCCTGAGAAACTGCTCTGAGGTGAAGAGCTGCCCAGGAAAACCCCCTGAGCCTCCAGCATGCAACTGGGCAGAAGCTTTTCTAGTGCTGGTTCCTTCCCTGGGACCAAAACCAGGAGCAAGGGCAGCTCCTTGGAGGATGCTCTTCTGAACAAGGTGAGCTCCTGCTGCCCCTTGGGCCGAGCAGCATTAGGGAACCATATCCCTGGGATTGCAGCGGGCCAGGCTGCTGCCCTGGCAGGAAAGCGGGGCAGGCACTCCCTGAGCAGGGCACAGCAGCTGCTGGATGCACTTTGGAGCTGAGATGGGAACCTGCAGCTCCCAAACAGTGGTGATTTCTCTGGATTTTAAAGCAAAGCTTTCTCCAGGCTAATGGGATCCTTGTGGGGTCCAAGGCTGCAGGGGCAGCACCCGTGGGTCCCACATGTTCGTGGACTCTCCATCAAGGGAGAGGCTCCATCCTGCAGAGTTCTGTGTTATCAGAGGGACACATGGCTCGTGTAAGGACACCTCTGTGGCTCCAGATGTCACAGAGGCCACCTAGCCCAGAGACAGTCAAGTGTCACCCAGGCACTGGGTGCAGATTTGAGCCAGGGCAAACATTTCCCACTGACAGGCTGGCCTTGCTCAGCAGGGTTTACCCGTGGGCTCAGAGGGAGAACAGAATTTTGGGGAAGATCCCCTGGTGCTCAAAAGGTCTGTAACCCAGGGTGAACCCACCCTGAGTTCAGCAGGAGCCTCAGAAACCAGAGTGGATGCCTCTCCCTCACACACAAGGCTCAGAGAGTTACACGAGCCAGTGCACACACAACAGCTCCTGCAGCTCAAAATAAACGTGGCACAAGCAGGGAGCTGTGAGTGCCCCTGAGGCAAGGCCACGTCTGCTCCAGAGCCCCTGGAATGGCAGAGCCTCATCCCAAATGTCCTGCAGTCCCTGGCTGAGCCCAGCATCCCTCCAGCCAGCACAACCAGCACAGAGCCACTTCAGGGCTGTCCCCTCCCTGGGCACAGGCACATGCTCAGCCATGGCAGGTGAGCGCTGTCCCCATGTGGAAAGCAGCCCTGGGACAAAGCCAGGGACAAGCGATGCAGAGCCAGGCTGGGAGCGGGGTTAGCTCTTCGTGGGCTGCTGGAGGGCCCTACAAGCAATCCCTCTCTTGCCTCAGGACGAGCCTCAGAGGCACAGGGGCACTGCCTGGAGCCCAGCATGTTTCCCTCAGCCCTTGGGCTTGTGTCCAAGCAAGGACACAAGCCGGGACTGAGGGAAGAGGCACTGAAATAACATTTATTTGCAGGATGAGCCCCACACGTACCCCGGGAAGGAAGGAGATGATCGGATTTCTCCCTGCCTGCAGGTTTGGGAGCTGCTGGACAGGCAGCCAGGGGCTGTTGGGGAGGGGACAGCTGCCCTGGGGACAGCGAGCTCATCGACCCACGGCAGCTGAGGCAGGCTGTGGCCAGGCACCGGGACTCTGTCCTTCCCGGAGCTCCCGAATCCCGGCAGGAGAGAGAGCAAGCACCGGGCACCAGCCTGAGGGACAAATCTCCCCGAGGCTTGAGATGCTGCACAGCCCCATGGCAGCACTGCGCTTCGTACCGCAAAGCCTTCCTCCTCCTCAGCTCTCGCAAAGGCAGGGATGAGCAGGCAGGTCCCAGGGGAAGCAGCAGCCGCCGGGGAGGCAGGAGGGACAGCTGGACACCGGCCAACTGCCCGCACCCAAAAGTGCGGAGATTAAACTCACCCTGCCAAGCTCTGGAGCAAAGGTGGCAGCAAAGGAGTCACAGGGCAGAGGAAGAGAAGCCGTCAGAACCCGGAAAGCAGCTGCTAGCGTTGTTAACATTTCCCATTTTAATTGCTTTAATGACACCCTGAGGGATGGATGTGCGACTCAACGAGTGCCCCGAGGAGCTGAGCTGGAACACAGCTGTCACCACCCGCCCCCCTCCTGCCCATCTTCCCTCAGCCAAGTAATTAGTGCGGTTAATGATGCTGGCTGGCGAGCCTGGCAGCCCGAACCCCCCGGCAGGAGAGAGACCCTGACCCCACAGCTGGCAGCGGGAGCCGCGCTTCCCTCCCTGGGAATGCCAGGAGCTCTTGGACTGGACCAGACGTGCCATTCACCTTCCCCAAGTGCTGTTCTCCTTCTCTGGGATGGACTGGGACACGGAGGTGATCGGGACAAGGGGGAGATGACAGCTGGGAGGTGACAGCTGGCACCGACCTGGGCAGCAGCAGCCCCATCCTTAACCCTCGCTGCCTTTCTCCTGCTCAGCCCTGCGGCGGGGCAGGGGCAGCGCCTCCGCCCGCACATCCCGCAGGGTGACGGAGCGCGGGGCTCACGGCGATGCCAGGGCTCTCTCACCACGGAGATCTGGGCGCCATCCACCCGGCCCAGCTCCCGGAACACGCCGAGCTCCGGTGCTCCAGCGGTGGGCTCGGGAGATGGCCGGGATGCAGCCCCGGAGCCCCGCGGTGCTCTCACAGGAGCAGCCCGGCCTTGGAGGGGACACGGTGTGACAGGAGGAGCTGTGCCAGCACCCCGAACACAAAGACACCCACCACCCGCATTTTCAACTCCCCCGTGCCACCCACAGCCGCCAGGATGCCCGGGCGACCCCCAACCCACACGGAGCATCCTCCTCCCCAATCCGGCGCGTCGGGAGCGGCCAGGGACAGGGGCTGCACCCGGGGGCTGCAGCTGCTGGATCCCACGGCTGTCAACAGCTCCAGGGAACCTTCCACAGCCTTCCTGGCAGGCACAGCTCCCGCTCCGGGAGTCGTGACAGCCAGCTCTGGATGAGGCGTGGGCTGTTTCTAGCCACCCAGAGGCCCAGCGTTCAGCAGAAGGACACGACATCATTATTTAAGCCATCACGACCATGCACAGCTCCGGGCTGGCAGGGGAGCAGAGTCTCTGGCGCATCCCTGGGGCCGGTTCCTCCGGGAAGGAGCCTCACCCCGACACCCACCCGTGCTGCGGCTGCCCGGGGCTGGCCAGGGCTGCGGGGGGTCCCGCCCGCGGTACTCACGTCGTGGAAGATGGGCAGCGGCTGGCGGTGGGGCT